GGCCTGAGCTGGGCTGGGGCGAGCGGGTCTTCGGGCAAAGACGGGCAGGGCCGACGGAGAGGGCGCAAGGTGGGCAGGCCCGGCAGGCTGGCGGCCCCGCCAATGCGGACCGAGGGGAGGAGACCGCAGCTGTGGTCACAGGGCCCCAGCGCCACCTCTGCTGCAGACGCTGTGGTGCCCAGCCTCCTGGCGGCCAGGCACCCCGCCGGGTCATCTGCCCAAGGCCAGCGGGACTGGCGCAGCAGGGGCGCCCCCCACGAGCCGGCGCGCTGGGTGGGGCGAGCGGTGAGCACCCTCCTGGTCCCACAGACACAGCCTGCACCACAGCTACCGCACCTGACTGTCAGCCCCAAGCACCGCGCTGCTGCCACTCTGGGCAAGGCCGGCACCTGCAGGCCGGGCCCCTCCTGGGAGCCCGAGCCAGGTCCCCAGAATAGGTGGGTGTGGGAACAGCCAGCACGGTCCCCACGACGGCTCACCATCGCCAAAGGGGCTGCGGTGTCCGCCGCTGGACACCGCAAGTGGCTGGGTCGCGCTGGGTCGCAAACAAGACATACAGAGCTAGGCCCACCCCTACCCGCCAGGTGCTGAGCTGGGGTGCTCTGGGGTGGGCACCCCAGGTCAGCACCCGGCCTTCAATGCCTGCCAGGGGTAGGGCCTGAACCCCAGGGCCTGTGGGGGAGGCGGGGGCCTGGACCCCGGGGCCGTGAGGGGGGAAGCTGGGGCCTGGACCCCTGAGCCTGGGGGAGGGAAACCGGGGCATGGGCCCCGGACCCCTCCCGAGCAGGGAAGCTGGGACCCGGGGTCCTGAGCCCAGGGAGGTGGCTGGGGCCTGGACCCCTGGCGGAGGCGGGGAGCCGGGCTGACCTCGGCCGTGTCCCCGCCCAGACTGGCGGGCCGCCCCCCCACCCAGCCCTTCGCTGCACTACTCCACGCTGTCCTGCTCGAGGTCCTTCCACAACCTCTCCCATCTGCCCCCGTCCTACGAGGCCGCCGTGAAGTCGGAGCTCAACCGCTACTCCTCACTCAAGAGGCTGGGTGAGTCCGGGCCGGCCAGCAGAGCCCTTCAGGACCGCGGACAGCGGCCCGGCGCCCCCAGGGCTGGCTGCCCCAGTGGGCTCCAGGGCAGCTCGGAGGGAGTGTGCCTGGACTGTCCTTTTCAGTGCAGCTCACAGCCCCAGACACGGGCTGGGTCACCAGTGCTCAGTTTACACGAAACCAGCACGGGACGGACGGGGCGGGACACAGCAGGCGTGCTGGACCGGCCGTCTCCAGGTCTGGCCTGGGACTCCGGGCGGCCCCCTCCGGGCAGGAGAGGGTGTCCCTGGCCCCAGCACAGGCCAGGCAGGGGCCCGCGGGCTGCGGGTGTCACGGTGATGGGCCACCCTGACCAGCCCAGCCACAGCCCAGCAGCTCAGTGGAAATGCTTTTGCGCCGCTGTGCAGAGCCACGCAGGTCAGGTGCTCCCCAAGTTGCAAGAAGCTCCCCTCTTAGTTGCCATGAGTGGCTTCCCAAAGCCCCGGCCAGCACAGGCCCCGCGCCACAGCAGCTTTCTGCTGCTCGCCCCCCCGTGGGCTTGTGGCCTGCCTTCCAGGTCCAGAGCCAGCGGCCCTGTGTCACCCCACAGCCCTGAGCCTCCAAGTCCCAGAGGCGAGGAAGGGAGAGAAAGGCCCCTCCGGCGACAGGGGCCCCACGTCCGCGCGGCCACTGTGAGCCCTCCGGGGGCAGCTGTGTCCCCCGGTGGGCCAGCCCTGCTGTCCTCTGCCCCAGGCTAGGCAGGGGCTCCCGCAGCGGGCCCTGGGGGCGGGCCCGGGGGGCGGGCCTTGGGCGGGCCGGGACCACCCTCCTGACCGCCCGCAGCTGAGAAGGACCTGGACGAGGCTTACCTGAAGCGCCGGCACCTGGAGCTGCCCCGCGGGACCCT